AGTGCAGAACCAATAGAAGAAATTCAGAAGGTGGAGGGAGAAAACCACAAAGAATGTTGTCCTCGATCGCAACCATGCGACCTAGGACAGGCTGGGGTTCAGTACCTCCTACTTCTCTCTCCATGACTCCGCGACCGGGAAGGGCGCCCTCTTCCTGGAGTTTCTTCAGCGACGCGTTGGTGGAAGTAGATTTGCCGAGATCCATCGCCAACTAGAGATCGTCGGAGGAAGGACGGAGATTAACAAGCGAGGGTTTTTGCGGGAGCGGGGAAGACGAGGGATGCTTGGAGGCTAGAAAGTTTTCCCACGAACAGGCGGACTTCAGAATGAATCCCCAAAATTCCCTTAAGTAGACGCGCTTCGCACGGCGCGAATTTCAAGGAAAGGAGATAGATGCCCGCCGGAAATTTCTGGGTCTATTGCGTGCGGCGGTCTTTCAGACTTCAGTTTAAATTCACTCATGACCGTTGGACTTCACATGGTGTTCTCGACTATGTCCTGTCTCTACGGTTCCCACACCGAGAACGACATCAGCTTCGACATCAGAAGTCGCGTTGGTCACACGAGTTCATTTAAGCAGAAGTCGGGGGCTACTGTCAGGGTTACGGGTTAGGTATACCCTTTACCCTTCGATATATGTCACATATCAATATGGCATGCCTGCGCATATAGGGACATTCTCTATACGTGTTAAGGAAATCCTTCACGGAATTGGCAGATGGAAAGAGACCTACTCGGGCAAGACTGTGTTGTCAACGTATCGTGTGCGGTTCGATGTCTCTGAGTCCTGCTTGGAGATTGCCTGACCTGCGATATAAAAGGGACCCCCTGGGAGGACCTGCGGGATCGAATCTCACAGCCAACGCCACCACCACAGCCTACGAAGTCGGAGCCTGCAGGAGCCGAATCGCTGGGAGATCTAGTCGAATCAATTCGATTATGATCTCGCCGGTTTCATCGAGTTCCATCGTTCCCTTTGTAACCTGTGATTCCCATCATATAATTCCATACCAACTGGATTAGGGCTATTACCTGTCAAGAGGCCTGAACTAGTATAATCTTCGTCTTCTGTTTGCTTGATGTCATACTACGTAGACCCTTGCATCAACGTACCCCAATACCCTCTATATCCGGTCTACGGGTATCACCACATGGGCGCGACCGCGCGAGCTGGCGGCCGACAAGCGCTGCGCGGTGAACAAGTGCTGGCCCGTTTGGCTTTGCCACAAACTTTGACAATTTGACTCTTTGCAAAAAATATTTTTACAAATGAACCGATCAAAACTTATTTTAAAAATAACCCTTTTGTTCAGCGTTACATCGTGTGGCGCTGAACTTAAACATCTCAGCGCCAAATAGTGTGACGCTGAATATGCGTTGGCACGCTGACTTAGCCTCCCATCTGCGGTGGCACGACATTCAGCGCTAGATGACGTGGCGCTGAGGTGTCTAAGGTCAGCGCCAGATGATTTGGTACTGGAAAAAAAAGATTATTTTTAAAATAAGTTTTAGTGACGGTTTATTTGTAAAATTATTTTTTTCAAAATATCAAATTGTCAAAATTTGTGTGGCTTTGCCTTCCTGTGGCTGCTATGCAAAGCCAAATTACACTGTCTCGAAATTAACTCCAATAGGTTGTACGGATTATATCTACTAAAGGCCTTGTTTAGTTCTAAATTTTTTCTTTAAACTTTTAACTTTTTTATCGCATCAAAACTTTCCTACACACATAAATTTTCAATTTTTCCATCACATCATTTTAATTTCAAACAAACTTTCAATTTTAACGTGAACTAAACACACTCATTGTGTTCATTATATCTACTACTGTTCTCCATCTTATTTCCTTCCCATATACCCAATCAATTCTTAATTATATGCGTCTAGCCTGTTACACACTTAAGATGTGCTCGGCTGATATTTTTGCAACTGCGGCTACCGTAGTTAAGAATTGCTGCAACTACTTGTAGTCAATTTGTGATATAGCAGCCACAGTAGCTGCAGCTTGTATGGCTAAGAGCCTTACACAACACGAGTATATTACTGGTCCATAAAAAAAGCAATATGTTCGTACTTCCTAGGAATGCACTATCAAATGTCACCTCGCAAACAAAGAAATTTAGAGCGCCTCTCTTGACGGTGAATGCTCGGTGGAATATAAGTTCATTTGAGTTCTCTTAACTTATCAACGAATTCGATTTTCATTCTTCAACTGGAAAACCAGATACAATAGATCCCTCAACTCTTAAAACCGGTGCAAAATAAGTCCTAAGGCGGTTTTAGCTGACGTGACGTCTACGTGGCTAATTTGACTCGGTCTTCATCTAATGTGGCATTGACATGACGCTTATGTGACAATTTAATTTGCAAAATAATAAAAACTATGGTCCCACATATCAGTTACACAAAAAATAATTTAAAAATACTGGGGCCCACGTGGGCCCCACATGTCATTCACGCCCCCTCTTCTTGTCCTACTCCCCATCTCCCCTCTCTTCGTTGCTCAGAGCGGGGCGGCTCTGGGCCTCAGGCGGAGTGGCGCACGATGGACAATGGCAGAGAAGCGGCGTGCGGCAGCAGGCGAGAGACGAGAGAGGAGGAGTGGCGGCCGGAGCTGCATGACCTCACCCCCCCGCGCCGCCGATTCCTCCTGTTGCGTCGCCGCATTGATCTTCATGAGTTGGCGCTGGCAACGGCGAGTTCGCAGTCGCGGGACACGGACAGCGTGGCGCCGACGGGGCCCGAGACTCGAGCTCGAAGCCGCTGCCGCCGCTTCAGCGGGTTCTCCAACGTTGACGCCATCGATTCGTCCCAGTGCTGCAAGATCCTGTTTTGTACACAGCCCCCTCCCCCTGCCCCCAGTCGCCATTCCTCCCCCACCCATCCCTGCCGCCGTGGTCACCCAAGCGGTCGGCGAGCGTAGCCACTGGTGAGCGTTTCGTAGACTGCGGGCGGAGATAGAGAGGAGGAACATGTGGGTCCCACTATATTTTTTTTATGATTGACATGTGGGTCTCACATATTTTTCATTTTGCTTCTAGAGCCATGTCACCACCACGTAGGACGAGGACCAAGTCAGACTAGCCACGTAGGCGTCATGCCACGTCAGCTAAAACGCCATCTAAACCGCTGAGGGACCTCCTTTATACCAGTTTTGACTGTTGAGGGACCCGTTGTGTCTAATTTTGCATCAAGGATGAAAATTGAACTCGGTGTAAAGTTAAGGGACCTCAAATGAACTTGTTAAAAAAAAGACAAAAACAGGAAAGGATTGTTGGGCTGAAAACGGGAGACGACTACGTGTTGGTCGGCCGACGGGGAGGGGGCAAAATCGGATGATGACGTCAGCATGACGCATACGTGCAAAACCATTTTAAACTATTTTTTCTCTTAAATTATTTATCCAAATCATGATCCGATTGCACCATTAAATTTGTTGCAATTAAATCTTCAAAATAAGACCATACATGGATATATTCCGACGGAAATTTGTTTAGCTTATTATTGAATTATTTTAAAATGTTGCACGATGTTCCACCAAATATATCGGAATTATTTTACAGTAGATCAAAAATGTTTCAATCATTTAAATTAGGTGTTGTTTCACCTTATATAAAAATAATGTTTTAGCAAATAGCGAAAGAATGTTTCAGTTCACTACAACATTTGTTCCATACATAGTGAAACATTAAAAGAACACTGGTGAAACATTTTTGGTGGAACAAAAAATGAAACAAATTCCCTTAATAGAGGGTTTTCAAAATATGTGGGTGATTTATTGCAAAAGAATATTTCAATTCACTGCAACATTAGATATATACATAGTGAAACATTGTGAGTACACTAGGTAAAATATTTTTTGTGGAGCAAAAAATGAAACAAATTCCCTTAATATAGGGTGCTGTCTATACGTCTTGTGACAGAAAATCCCACCTCCTATCATTCGAATTTTGGACCATTGGATATGCTTCAAGATCCGTGCAGACCCTTTTAACCCTAGCTCCTCTCCTCCTCCCCCCGATATAGATCGCATGCCGCCACCACTCCTCCGTCCTCGCGCGATCCCCCACCGCCACCGCCCCACCGCCCCACCATGCCGCCGCCCGCCTCACCGGCATCCTGGAAGGGGTCAATGGCACCGGCGAGACCCTCCCCCCCCGGCGATACCCCTCCCCCTCCCCCTACCCCCTCTCCTCCTTCCCTCCTTTCCTCGAGGTGGCGACGGGGAGGTGCCCCCGCCCTGCCGTCTTCCCCGTCTCCGGCGGCTCCCCGCCGCCGGATCCGCCACCACCGGCCGCCGCCTCCTAATCTCATGCTTGCTTTGCCCCCACCGCTGACGCCGGCCGACCGCCCTCCTTCATCCCCGTGGCTTCGGCGGTGCCGCCGCCGCCTTGCCGCCCGCCGGAGTCCACCGCCCACCATCGGTCCTCCGTCGCCCACGGCCATCCCTCTAAACCCCGAGGAAAGCCCCCTCTTCCCCCTCACCCAACCCCCCTCCTACCCTCATCCCAACCCCAAACCCTAACCCGTCAGAGTTGGGGTGTCGCCGGCGCCGGAGAAGAAGGGGAGCCCGCCGGAGTTGAAGGAGAGAAGCCGATGCACGAACCTTGGCATGGATCCAATGGTTCAAAATCTGTAAGATTTCTTCCCCAAATTTCATTCGAATGACATATAGCAATCCCGTTCCAAAATATGTGGGTGATTTGTTTCAATGGAGTATGTGGTGGAGACACTTGGCAGGTGGAGGCAGGGACACGTGGGTGGGGCCAAGGGGGCGTGCGTCGTGGGGGGAGGGAGCGCTCGATTTTTTCTCCCTCCCCCTATAGATGGCCATATGGCCCAAGGCCCACGGCCTGGCCCGAAGCTCGCAATTTTGGCCCGATGCAAGCATGGCAAGGCCCGACTGGGGTCGTGCTCGTGCCGGCCTGGCCTGACAGCCACGCCATGTCTGGGCTACACCCTCGGCATGGTGGGCTGGCCTAGCACGGCCCGATCAAATAAAAAAATATAGGGACGCAAAATAGACTTATATAATCGTATAAGGCAAGGCCCAAGACAAGAGGCATACAAAATAGACTTATTTTCCAGCCATTCAAACACAGCCGCAGAGTTGAGGAACCAAAAATATACTTTTTCTACGAGCAAGCACAATAGGCCTTCGTGTCTTCGGGCCAGCCTGGCATGGCCCGAGTAGTATTGGGCCGTGCCTGGGCTGTGTATGCTGCCTGTGAGCTGGCACGGCACGGCCCGGGCCGTGCCAGCCCGACAAACCTCAGCCTAGGCACGGCTAGGCTTGGGCCATGCCGTGCCGGGCGGCCCAGATGACCATCTATACCTCTCCCGAGCAACCGACGGGGAGGATATTCCCTAAAAACGGCAAAGCTGGCTGATAGTGATCGCTGATCGGCGATTGCCAATTAATCGAAGGAATACCGTGCCCGTGCGAACTGACTCCGGCTCGGACTAGAGTTTTGTTGCGTGTCCCATTCAAATTCGGACTCATCCTTGCTCCTTGGGTACTCATTTAACTGGAGGGCACCGATCTCCTGGATCTGCTGTACACTTCACCAGAATCGATCAAACAAAACAAACAGGAGTGAGTTGAGTAATCATTAACCAACCAAGGAGGCAAGGAGGGAGGAAGACATGGATGGCACGAGGAGCGCCAAGAGGATGAAGCGTTTCTCGGGGGCTTGCCCTTGTCCACTGCCCGACGACATCGTCGACGAGATCCTCTCCCACCTGCCCGTCAAATCGCTCCTCCGATTCCGATGCGTCTCGCGGCGGTTCCACGCCACCATCACCTCGTCACACCTGTTCCAGGAAGCCCATTTCCTCCAGCGAAAGCAGCGGAACAAACACCCACCACGGCTGTTCATCAGGCCGCCGTTCGGTCCTCGACAACCTTTCTTCGCCTGGCAATGGCAGTGGCAGCATCTGATCCCCAGGCCCCCGGTAGAGGAGATCATGACCGCTAGACATCTGCCACATGGCACGATCTTTCCGCTCGCCAGCAAGTCCTGCCATGGCCTCGTCCTCCTCAAGATCACCGGCCACCACACGCACTACCTCTGGAACCCTTCCACCCGCCACATCCTGCGTCTCCCGGGCACGGACAACACGCCGCCGCCGGCGACCTACGGCTTGGGCTACTGCTCGGCCACGCGGCGGCACAAGGTGGTGCGCGTGGTGGGTTGCCGCTGCTGCTCGCCGGCGACCGTCGTCTGGGAGGTCTTGGCTCTCGACGGCGACGAGCCGTCGCCGTCGAGCAGCTGGAGGCCGCCCGCCGCCGCGTCCACGACGCCGCCGCCGCGGCATTGGCATTACCCGCGAGAGAATTGGCGACGAGGAGCCGCGCTCTGCAACGGCGGCGACCTGCACTTCCTCCGAGGAGACGGCGACATCGTCACATTCAACGTGACCGACGAATCTTTCGGCGTGTCGTCGTTGAAGCCTCCTCCTGAGCTGCAATCTCGCGACGACTTTGAGCTGACAGAGTTGGATGGCTGTCTGTGTGTGTATACTTTCACAGACGTAAAGTTGCAGCTCGTGGACGAGGAGCCGGAGAGTCCTACGTGCGAAATATGGGTGACGAGAGAAGCTGCAGCTGGAAGCTGGGAGAAGCTGTGTTCCATCGAATGGGTGAGCGTGTTGCCGCCTGACCATTCGTGTCTAAGGTGGTATTGGATCGCCCCGATTCATATGTTTAGTGATGGCAACAACGAAGAAAAGAAGAAGAAAAAGATCATGTTTGCCACAGGTACAGGCCATGTGTTGGTCTTCGACCCTAGCGTCGGGACCCTGGAGATTATCTTCTCGCCGGAGGACGAAGCCGTCGGCGAATATCACGATTACAGCAATAACGAAGTCTCTACTTTGGGTTTGTTTGAGGAGAGCCTCGCGTTGGTGGGCAACACAAGTGAAAACATCGTCTTCTCGCAACCATAGGTGCAAGTTGATCTGGCCGGGCTTGTTGTTCCAACATCCCTTGCTTATTTGGTTAAAAAAAATGAAATCAATTGCCTCACCTGCCATTGATAGTCAGTCTCCAGTATGTTATCAGTTTTATTCGTAGATCGAATTTAGATTTGTATTTTTTATATCATCATAATCTATTTTTATCTAATTTTATAAAATATTTATGCAACTATCTAAGTCACATGCATACACTCAAAACACAATTGCGTACTTTCTGCTGCCAATAATGGATCGGAATGCCCAGATAACGGAATGGGAAGTTGCCGACCTGGCAGCCAAAGAGCTGGTTGTATTGATCACCATAATCAAGTGCTTCACCAAAACAATACAGTTCACTTTTATGAAAATTGATCTTAAGACCCGACAACTGTTCGAAAGCTAGAAGCACTGACTTCATGTTCTGAGCAGAAATTGAGTAGCTGGAAAGGAAAACTTCTTTCGTTGGGAAGACGACTTACTTTGATTAACTCAGTACTTAGCAGTTTCCTAATGTATATGATGTCATTCCTTGCAATTCCTAGTGGGGTACTTAAAAAACTTGACTACCTTCGATCTAGGTTTTATTAGCAAGGGGATGGACATAAGAAGAAATACCGGCTTGCTAAGTGGGACATTATTTGTCGTCCCAAAGAACAAGGGGGGCTAGGAATTCATGACCTCGAGATAAAGAATAAAGCGTTAATTAGTAAGTGGTTATACAAACTACTTACCACCGATGGAATATGGCAACAACTACCACGCAATAAATATTTGGGATCACAACCTTTATCTCAAGCCTATTGGAAAGCGGGGGATTCACATTTTTGGGCTAGTCTTATAAAGGTCAAATAGGACTTTATCCGTTTTGGATCCTTCAAGATTAGGGACGGCTCCCAAGTTAGGTTCTGGGAAGACAAATGGTTGGGTAATGCCTCGTTAAGAGAACAGTATCCTTGTCTCTATAACATAGTTAGGCATAAACAGTCGACTATCGCACAGATTTTCCAAACCAATCCTCCGTGCTTTTCATGGCGACGGGATTTAATTGGTGCAAAACTAGCTGCTTGGCATAACTTATTGCCTCGCATAGCTGATTTGGTTCTGGTATAGGAGCAAGATGAGTTTCAATGGAACCTCACCCCGAATGGGGTCTTCTCAGTCAAATCTCATTATCTAGCTCTAACACATACCGGGGTCCGAATATTAAGAACGGATTTGGAAGGTGAAAGTACCCCTAAAAGTTAAAATCTTCCTTTGGTATTTACGTCGGGGCGTAATTCTCACCAAGGACAACCTTGCTAAGAGAAATTGGAAAGGCAGCAAGATATGTTGTTTCTGTCACAAGGATGAAACTATCCAACATTTATTCTTTCAGTGCCGCTTATCTCGCTTGGTGTGGTCTGTAATTCATTTGGCTTCTAATCTGAAACCTCCTCGCAATGTTGGTCATATGTTTGGGAGTTGGCTATCATGTGTCTCCAAAGAAATGATGAATCTGCTTTTGATGGGTACAACAACTCTGTGTTGGTCCATTTGGTTGAGCAGGAATGGAGTAATTTTTGATAACAAGATGGTGTCTTCTCCTTTGCAGGTTATTACCTTAGTTACCCGGTGGCTACATACCTGGGCTATCCTCCACCAATCGGGACTGCGGGATACTATTACGGTGGTATCTCGATGTTTGGACCAGGTGGCACAGAAGTTTTTTTTACCCAGGAGCATGGGTGGCGGTCTAGTCTATGGATTGATAGCCACTAAGATATATGTTTCTGTCAAACTTTTGTGCCTGGGAGATGTTGTGCTTAGGAGATGTTCTAGTTGTTTCTTTCTTCTTTTTCTGACTGGGTGACGGTCTAGTCTATGAATTGATAGCCACTAAGATATATGTTTCTGTCAAACTTTTGTGCTTGGGAGATGTTGTACTTGGGAGATGTTCTAGTTGTTTCTTTCTTCTTTTTCTGGCTGTGTGTATTTTATGCAGAGGCCGAGAGTGACTCGGTTTAATTGTATCATCTTTATGTAATTAAGTTCTAAAAACTTTCTGCTGCCAACAGCGACGGCCTGATTAATCTCCAACGAGCTAGCTCACCTTTTTATTCAAGCTAATCGATGCTTTTTTTATTTTTTGATACGGATGTACATAGAAGGACTTCTACGGTACAATTTATTAGCGGGCATTGCTTAATTACCACACAACGGCAAATCAATTATTCACTGAAGCATATATATAGAGAAGCTACCACCATGCTACATTATACATATTGGGTCCGATTCTCAGGTCTCCACTCTCTCCGCCAGCTTGATACCCGATGACTCCAAGATCTCCAACGCTTCACAAAATCAAACGCACGTATCAGCAACCCACCGCCGTTGCTGGGTTCGATAACCATAAGCAACAAGTGGTGTCTGATTTGATTTGCACTTACCTGGAATGTAAATTTCAGGTTCCAGAGGCCTGATCACTCCTTTCTTTTGGATCTTGTTCTGGAGCAACAGCTGAAACATGAAAACGAGTATAATGAGTACAAGTTTCCTCTTTGATCAGGTATGCGTATGACAAGTGTAATGTGGTTCAAGAGAGCTACTTACCAGAGCTCCTATTGCTGCTGGTATTCCGACCGTGAGAGCCATGGCAGTGGTAGGCCTGCCATTTTCAACCTTTCCAAACTCAAGTAGGGTTGCTTGGTGCTTTTCGGTTGGTCGGCCATCAGGGTATTCCACCTCCACCTCATGGTGCAGCAGTACCATATCCTGAATTACATCACCAAAGCAAAAGCATTTAGCGTGTCAGTAATGGTTATCCTTAGAAGTTTGATGGAAAAGAAGCTTGTGAATTATGGTGGTAAAGCACAATCTGAAACAGAAATTCGGATAGATCACTGGGCTAGCAATCTACTAGAGATAATACTCCATGTGAGCAATAAAAAAAGGAACAAATGCACTTGTATGTAAAGTTCAGCTCTCTTTCAAGTTTCTTTTAGTTAAAGTCCACAATAAAAGAGTGAATATATTCTGAGACCTTGCCCGTTCAATGTAAAAAAAAAATCAGCTCTCTCAGTCTCTCAAGTTCACTTTTGTATTGTGGAAAAAAGAGTATACTTTGATAATTTCATGAAATTTTCTGTACTGTTATATAAAATACATGAGATCGAAGGAGGACTGCTGATATGATCAATCCTCACCTGCTCATTGTGGATATAAGCCATTCTCTGCTCCATTCGCTGGCAAATCACATCAAATGCACTTGAACAGTTCTCTGGAATCTGTGTCTCCTCATATAATCCCAAGAACCTAGCCAAGAGATGATGTATTGTCACTTCTAAATTACCAGCAAAATATCCATGCTTTGCTATGGGTAAAAGAAAATATATAATAATATGTCATAGAGATGTTTGCTTATTTGAATACATGATATTCACTTGATTGAAACAAATATTAGACAATTATATAATATTAGAAAATATAAGGGACTAGTTTGCAAAAAGTACAAAAGTAGTGGTGGTGGCACCACTAGTGTCTTTTATAGTAGTATAGATAACAAATAATTCCTTTTTTCTGGAAGACTTATAACAAAGAATTTCAACAATAATACTGCTTATTTCTAATATGTTCCTAAAATACTACTTGCACAAAGAGATTTATTGCATAATATTAGATGTAAACACAGCTGTGATCTTCATGGCAGTTTCTAGAAGAGGTTAAATGTGGTGAGCAATGTTAGAAAGCACAGGGTTCAGAAACTAACTTGATTGTTTTGACTGTCTTAGCAGCTATTTCCTTATCTTTGCAATGCCCAAAACTCAAGAGTCTGGAAATCAGTTCACCATCTTGTCCTCCAGAGACTTCACTATATTCCTTTCTGGCGGTTGTGGAGATGTTACAAGCATTGAAGAGTTCAACAAGAAAATCCCTGTATGTAGGGCGAGTAGTTTGTTGCAACAGTGGATGACTTGCAGCATCAAAAAACCCAATTTTCGCGAAGGTTGCCATTATCTCACTAAATCCTGTACAAGTGCAACAAAATTATTTGTATAAATGATATTTCCAGGGAAAATGAATGTCTCAGTTAAAACGAAACGGTACATCAACACTTGCCTTCATAACGAAGAGTAGCCCTGTACACAGTAGATGCTTCTTTGGAGATCCCATACAGGTCTCCATACATCAAGGAATTCCGGTTTGGCAAGTGTTCCAGTGCAAAAGCTGGAAGTTCTGGTAATCTGAGCCTCTTTGCGGATTCATACAATTTATCACCTGTTGAAGTTATAGGTAAATTCACCAATTGATATATGACAGTTGTATCTTCTTTCCATAATATGGATTCTCCTTTTCTTATTTTTATATGCAATTTTAAAATACTAAGATAGTTATACAAAGATACACTGAATAAACCAATTTTTTAGCAGTTTAAAAGCTAATTAGGTTCCATGCTGTAAAAACGAATGCTAGCCTGTGTCATACATCGCTTTTTAGGCACAAAGAACATGGATCAAGTACACATCAATTTTTGGTGAAGTATGTTTTTGTCAGTAAAACATACTATAAACTATGCATCTGTTTTTCCTTAGCAAATATTAACAAATATTACCATCTACATGGATGATTTCTCCATGAAATTTGTAGACAGCAGGGTTTCTCCCTGCACGGATGGCACCAGCTGGACTCCAACTACAAAAGAGGAAAAAGCAACCATGATTGTTTCTTGTAAAATCTGTTGCATGCAACATGGCATTGTTATTTCCAATATGGGAACATCATAGTTTACCTGAACTTATAAGCAAGTGGATTGTTTGCAGAAGCTGGAGATGGAAGTCCTCCACAAAAGGATGTAAATGACTTTATTTTCCCCTTCCGTGAATGTGCTTCGTCAATCATCTTCATTGACATCATATGATCTGCGTGCCATAAGCAATATTATAACTTGTTTGGACTAGCAAAATTACTCTATGATAAAATTACATTCTTTCTCGTTGCAGTGATAATGTTTAGTCATATCACATCCCCTAATAATTTGATGAACGTATGTACCATAACAAATGTACATGGTTGACCATGATATTAAGGAAAGTACCTATGCCAGGATCCAGGCCCATTTCACAGAGAATAGTTACACCAGCACCTTCTGCA